TCCTTCCTCCCTCCTTCCTTCCTCCCTCCTTCCTTCCTCCATTTTATTTGACATATATTTCGATGTTTTATGGGTTCTTTCCCTGCGGTGGGAGAGGAGGCTCCGTAAGGAAGGCCCCTGTCCCGGGTCGGTCCTGACGTGCAGGTGCTCCTGGGCCTCTCTCAGGAGAGCTGCGGGGCTTTAACGTGTGCCTGCCGGCAGCCTCTTCTTCCTCAGGTGGGGACAAAGGCAGGTGTAGGTGATGGCTGTGCGCAGAAAACTACGATTTTGACGTACTTTACTCCTGTTGCGTTGGCCATACCAGTGCAGCCAAGAGAATGAGCTGAAGGCTTCCGCCAGCGCTGGGAGCATTTCTCTGGCTGCAAGATAAAATTATCTTCTGGGTTACACCTCTGTACGGATAATGAGCTTTATTGTTGTCGCTTGGGTCAGAATTTGTCCTGCTTAGTCTTAAAGAAGTCTAATACAAGATTAGAAGTTGAGATATCTCTTCCACATTTTTTTTACTCCTTGGAAAAGCAAATTTAATATGCAGTTTTCTGAAAGAACTGTAAAGTCAAAATATTCGGCTGCACTGTCCATAGGAAACTTCTTTTTAGAATAGTTAATGCATCTAACAGTCTGTCTATGATGAAAATTAATTTCCAGCCTGATGAATCCCTTGACCCTCAAACTTCAACTGTATCACTATTTAGTCTTTGTGAAGGTGGACATCTGGTCTTTAGAACTTGATATTTATGGCATTTATCCAAGTTGCTAACATCATTGTTGTGAGTTTCCTGGACAAGTGACAAGACTTCTAAGATACATTTAACTGCCTTCATGTTCTGAAGTGAAGAAGGTATTTGGGCTGCCTTAAATCAAATAAACACTTGATTTTATTTTTCATTCTCATTAAAACCAGTGTAAAAGCTATGCCAAGACTCATGTATAGGATTTCCTTTGGTCAGGCACATTGGCTATGTTTGAAATGGAATAACGAATGTAGGTTTTCTTACTGTCAATGGGTATCGTTGTGCATTCAGACTGCATCTAAACTTTGATCTTGGTAAATGTCTCCAGGAGGATATATATTGTTTATCATAAATATGTTTGTATTTATGCTCAAACTGTTTCTGTGGTTTACTTTTTTTTTTTAATTAAAAGACTACTCACTGCAGAAGATAATTGTTTGACCTTCAAGCTTGTAGTTACTTATATTTTTCTCCTGCTTCTCCCTCAAATAATATTTTTCTTTTTCTTCTCACAGCAATCGGAAGACTTTGTGAAAAATGTAAGTATAGCTTCTACATACAGTTGCTTGAGAACATGGTGTTGCGGTTAGAGCATACGGTTTGGATTTGAGGATTGGATTCTATTTTTGCTTTAACCACGAACTTGATGTCACTCTTTGAACTGGAAACAGTTACTTGTATATTGCAAGTGTAAATCAATGAATACTTACAAAGTTACCTGCTCAAATAGATTGTCACATAAATGCAGGCTGTTCTAGAATATATGCTGCCAGCATCTTCAGTAGCTCAGGCCACAGTCAGGTCTTGATTAGGCCCTTGTAATCTGTAATACAAAATGATCAGCCCGATGATTTCAAAGCAGGAAAAAAAAAAATGCATTTGGGGAATCTGACTTCATCACACCTTGAGAAAGGTTCGCTTCAGCATCTAGGAGAGTAAGAAACGGGGCGGAGAACATCTGGAGTTAGAGCAGAAAAAAACCCCACAGCATCAAATGCCAGTTCTCAGTTGTAGAAGGGAAGAAAGAGTATGATCTGTCATTAGATCCTTATAGGGGAACAGAACAAATAAGATGACTAGTTCGTGACTCAAAAGTAGTATGAAAATAAGGAAAGTGGGAAGAAGCGCAGTCTGAAGCAACAAGCTTGTTTTCGAGAGCAGTCGGCAGTGAAACAGATTCCCTTTGGTAGTAGTTGAGGGCTGTTGTGCTGGAGATTTAAGAGCAGGTTAGATGAGCTGTTTGTGGGAGTCGAGATTAGATGCCTTGGGAACTGGTAATAGGATATGAAGCCTTTCATCCCTAGGTCAGTGATTGGGATAAGGTCCAGCACAGCAGAGCCTGTCAATGGCATCTGATGGCTGCTTGCCTGTATGATATGAGTACTCGAATTTCACTCAGTTCCTTGTGAGAAAGCGAGAGCAACTTTTGTGAAATGGCAGTTTATGCCAGTTTGCCCTTTCTTTGGCCTTCTCACAGATGAAGGATTAAAGGGACCACGAGTACAATCTCTTATCTCATCTCTTTGAGGATAGTAACTCCAGACTTTTGTTGATGTGGCACTGTGGGAGAAGCTTACACTGCTGCTTCTCGTAGGTAAGGACACTAGTCCTGTCAGTCCAGCATTTTTTTTCACAAGTGAAAAATTCAGGAAAAGTTCTAGAGTAAAAGTAATGGCATGATCCAAGCAGGTGCTGGCTAATCACAGAAGTGACTTTGGGTTTCTTCTCTGATTGTGAATGCATGAATAAATAAACAAACTCAAATATTGCAGGCTGCTGGCCCTTGTTCCTCTCAAGCCTGTGTGCAAATACAAAGTTGCACCTCTGCCTGCAAGATAAATTTCTGCAGTTCAGTTGTATTGTCTTTGAGTGTACAGGCAAGTTCTTTGACTAGGAAGCTTTTCCTCTTTGATGCAGGGGTGGAGGAAAGGACATTCTGTAACCAAAGGCTCTGCTGTACTTGCAGGTGATGGCAAATGCGTGATCTGCGACTCCTATGTGCGGCCCTGCACTCTCGTGCGTATATGCGATGAGTGTAACTACGGCTCGTACCAAGGGCGCTGTGTGATCTGCGGGGGTCCAGGAGTGTCTGATGCCTACTACTGCAAGGAGTGTACCATCCAGGAAAAAGATGTATGTTGTCATCCAGTCCCCTCTTGAATTGGTTATGTCTTTATTTAGTAGCCGTGCTTACCTTTACGGGGCTTGAAGGTACTGAAATACGTATTGGGACGTGGGACGCTACCAATATTGGCACTGGTTTTCATTACCTCGCACCTTTCTTCCCCTGTTGGTAGTGCTCCGTGTTTGCAAAGCATTTTGAGATACTGTAGCATTTTGAGGTACTCTAACTCTCTTCATCCTGAAGGATCTTTGGCTGCTTTGCACTGCACTCTCACGGTTCGCTTCCTCCACACGTTGCTTGTTAAGTTGTTCTCTTGCTAGATCTCTCAGCCTAGGTTTTATCAGGGTTAGAGATATTGCAGACACTGCAAAGGCAGTGGTGGGAGCAGCTCCTCACTAGAAGTCCGTACGCTGACCGAGGGCACGTACGGTACTGTGAGGCCTACGGAATCACCGCCTGTGTTCTCCTTTGGATAACAACATAAAGTTAGACCTTAGTGTCCAGTGTCTGCACCACTAATTGTGTTTTACAAGTTTAAAGCTTCTTGTATCATTTCAGTAGGATATGATTTTTTTTTTTTAAATTCTTTTCTGGAATCGCCTATATTGTAGACCTCTCTTTTTGGTGTAATGATCCCTTATTTCTATAGTCCGTGCTATAATCTTTTTATAATCTTCTTGTGCTGAAAGATAGCCACTGCGCAAGTGAAATGCGGCAGCTCTACGGTATTTGTTAATATCCAACACAATGAGTGCAGGACATGAAGAACGGCAAATGAAGCAGTAGAAAGACCTTAGGGAAGAGCAAGAACATGATGCTTACAGCTGCAATATCCCCAGAATACAGACCTGATAGCTGTGAGAGTGTCTGTTAAAGGTTGCTTGGGTTTTGGTGCTTTGCAAATGCCGTTTCCAGCACTCCCTAAAGACAGTGGAGAACACGCTGAGAGAATGGTTCAGACTGATTTACAGGAATATTGTCAGCTAGGTGAGTTGCTGGTTCAATTCTCCGCAGTGCCTATGTTTTCTCTAGAGGCCTGCAGCTAAATTCAGGACAGGGGCAGGTCCTCATTTGAATTTAGTCATTAGATCTGACAGGATCATAATCTTTCTTAGGATCTAAATATGGATATAAATGCTGTGATGGTGGTGCTGCCTCCTACTTTAGAAATGCTGTGAGAAACAGTAGTTTTGTTCACTTGCCTTTGAAACCAAGATACCTGGCTTGATAAGCCATGAATAAAATAGGCTTAGTTTTATTTTTACCAATTCATATTGATTCCCAACAGGTATTTTTCATAACCTAAGCTGACCTGTAGCTTATGTCTTGTTCAGGTGTGAAATAGCCAGCTGCTCTGCAAGGGGGGATTGTAGAAAACGTAGAGCTGGAGTAGCAGGAGGATGACAAGTCAGAACTGAGGTATTTTGACAGCGGGGTGAAGGCTGCTGTAGGTGAAGACAGTTGGTCTGTACCAGCAACCTCAAATGTTAGGGATTATTGCAGATGTGGAGCTGCAGATCTGAAACAGCCCATTTGACATGGTTGACTTGCAGGATTGGAAGCTGCTGGCACAGGTGTCGAGTGCCCGGAAAGAGAAAAGTGAAGTGTGCTGCCTGCTGCAATTATGGTAGCTGGCGCTGATGTGAATAAGAAAAGCAGACGGACAGAGCTCTACACCTGAAGCTCCAAGGTTTCAGTCACAGCACTTCCATCATCTGCAGAGAAAGGCTGGAAAAGAAAGAGAACAAACACTTGGAGAGGAGGCAGGAGATGGAATGCTGTTGGGCACAAGGCAAAGGGCCTGGTTACTCTTGGTTCATTTGTTCTGATGGAGGGAGGAATGAGTTACTGTTTCACCTCCACTTCGATCTGTGGGTAAGGGCCAAAATCCAGCCTTGTCACCCAGGACAGCTGTGAGTTGCGAAAAAGAATCTTTTCTTGGGGAGAGGAGCGTGCTCATGTGCTGCCTCCTTAGGAGGAGGTGGCAAAATGAACAGAGCCCTGCAATAATGCTGTCAAGATTGTCACAGACGCCCTGGATCGTGGGAGGCAAGGCTTGGAAGAGTCCTACTATTGAGGTTCAAAATCAAATAAGGAGGCAGTAGCTAGAAATGGGTTGTGGCAGGTGTATGGCGGAGGAACGATTTCTTTCCCCCTCCTCTCCTGTTATTTCTACCATGCAGACCCTCCCCACCGTGTTCCATCTCCCACACAGGAGCAGGTATCGGTGGGGCAGCTTGGGTGCAGTTTCTGCAGCAGCTGACATCTGCCCAGAGGCTTTCTAAATCAAATGGCACTTGGGCTTACACAACAGCCAAGGACACGTGTTCCGCTGCCTGCTGGGCCCCTCACAGCTGCTGTTGCCAGCCACAACATTTTGCCCTCAAGAGTTATGCAGATGCTGGGCTCAGGTGGCCCACAGACAAATGTTCCCTGGTACACCAAGAGGTGCATCTCTTTTTTGTCTTTGCAGCCACACCTCTGAGGTGGGTCTCCCTCGCTCCCCTTCTTGCTTTTCATGTGGCTTTTTTCTCACCATCTACTGGAATTCAGGTACAAGAACTTATCCGTGTAGCTGCTCTGAATAGCTGTCCTCTCCCAAGATGACCGTACAGCCTCTGCAGTAGTCAATCCAGGATGCAGGAAATCTGAGATTCAGTTCTGCTGTCACAGCTGAGAGGGGTCTCTGAACACGAGAATGGCTTGGGTGACATCTAAAGCAACAAGATTCTTTTTGGCTAAGGAAGGGGGAAGATTATTCCTCTGGGCCCTATAAATCCTGCGTATCCTAATTTAGAAAGAATCCAGTCTTGAGGCACTGAGCATCCTTTTCATTAAACTGCTGATGTTACACGAGCTGTTTTCCATCTTCACCCTGAGGAAGAGAATGTCCTACAGTAAGGTTAAAAAGGTGTCCATCCTCTTCTCTGTTCCACTCTCTTGCTGGTAGTAACCAGAACTGCAGAGCAGTTTGTCTGCAGAGGTGTTTGAAATGTGTGTTGAGGACGGGGTGAGGAGCATGGGAACTGAGAACCTACTAGAACTATGTACGTGATGATGTTGTTCTGTTTGCCCATCTCCTAACTTACATCCTCTTTTCTTCTCACAGAGAGATGGTTGCCCTAAGATCGTCAACCTGGGCAGTTCCAAGACAGATCTCTTCTACGAAAGGAAAAAGTATGGCTTCAAGAAGAGGTGATCCTATCCGTACGTGACTATGCCTCCTGTCGGGTTGGCAAGAGGGTCTTGGAACATCTCTGGACTTTACTATTATTGAAAACCAGTTGATTTTTTTTTTTTTTCCCTAAAGCAGTACAAATTCAGTAGTATACTTGGGGTTGGAGAAGTAACAGACTGAGTGGGGACTGAAACCTGATCAGAACTATCAGAAAGAGCAAGTGAGGAGTACTGTCTCTTCCCTGTTCAGAACCTCTGCTAGTAGCTGCCCCAGCTCGCTATAAAAATCCTGGTGGGCAAGTATCTACATATGGAGGAAACCAGCTCAGTAAAAAGCAAGTGCTATTTCTGGTGTGGGGAGACACCTCGCAGTTGTTCTTACCAGGCCTCCTCTCAATTGTTTGAAAATCGCCCCACACACCAGTACTGAAGAACAGAGCACCAGTCCCATGGGTCGGCTCCCCCCACTCCCTTCCTCCGCTGTATTTCCATGCTGCCCTGTTTTGTAAGGAACCTGCTCATGGCTGGTGCCTTCCTAGGGAGAGCACAGCTGTTCCATGTTTTCTTTGACAGATTAATCCAAGGCCCTTTCTTGTAACCGTTTCTGTAGGATGCATACCAATAAAGCGTCTTCTTTCTTTGGTGTTTTTTGTATATAACAAGGATTTCTCTCTGGTCCATTCTGTGCCTAGCCTCTCTGGAGCTTTCTGGGGAGGCACAGGATTAGCCCAGCTAGAACTGCACAATGGGTTATCTGGTTTCTGACAGTGTCTGCTTATGGCCGTGTGACCTTGCTGCAAGGAGCTTCGGGGAACGGCTATCGCTTTTGTCTGCCTGTGATCCCAGCCACTGATCATTTTGTCCTGTAGCGTGAGGATCGCTGAGCTTGTAACCCTTATCCTAGCTAATACGGCTGTGGATGTTGTTTCACCGTGCAAACATCCAAGCCCTTTCTAAAACCTACTAAGCTATTTGACTCGCTATCCTGTTCTTGTGAATAAGTTAAAGCCTTCCCTGCTGTAACTGGAAACCAACTATTGTGTTCTAGGCTATTAGCCGTATGCGTGCTGAAAACCAGAGGCCGCTTGTTTGTCAAATACCAGTACAGGCTAAAAGCGGTCTGTCGGCTCAGCAGGGATCTGGGAACGGGCACCTTTATGCAGAGGCGGAACCGAGTTCCCTACTAGCGCGTGCGCTCCTCAGATGGTTAAATTAGGGTCCTAGCTCAGCGTGCCCTGTAGTCCTTAAAGTCTTCGTAGTCTGAGCAGAGCACGTGCTACAGTAACAGGATTCTCTTTGCGCAATCTTGGGGTGCAGAGCGTGTTTTGTGCCCCTTCCAGGATTTTAGTTGTTCCCTTGAGGCTAGTACTGATTCCTCTAACTCCTCTTTGGCTTAAATGCCTCTTCTACCTGCTCCAGCCATTTAGGTGTTTCGGATAAGACTGAAAACAAGCAGACAAGTTGTGATCATCCTCCCCTTAAAAGTCATTTCTTCCTGCTGCAGCTGGCTCTAGCTATGACCAGTCCTACAGCTATCTCAGCTGCTCCTCCCTCTCCTCCCCCCAGCTATTAATGCCGTCAGGTTTCTCTTGCAAGGTTTTTGCAGTCCCAGGAGTATCTGGTATGTCTTCTTCCCTGCACCGTGGTTGCCTTACCCAACTTCTCGTTAATTTTTACTAACGTGGATGCCATTTGCCAAGAAGTTCAGAGCAAACTGGTTCTTTGGTTCCAGCAAACCCACTCTCTGAAAGAATTCTACCTGAATAAGCAGCTGTGTCTTGTTCCTGACTGGGAAGCCCATGTCAGAGCCATTATCAGCCGTGTTAAATTCTGTATTTCTTTAAAAGGAGGGCATGACATGCAGATTTTTTTTTGTACTTGGAACTTTATCACTTCAAGCAGAATTTATCGCTTGCTCTCAGTCAGGCTGCCCAAATTATCGCGCTAGGAATGCAGAAGGTTTGTACGTATGTTTTCTTTCCCGGAAGTTTCTAAGATAACAAAAGTTGTTCGGTGAAGGTAGAGGAAAATGAAGTTTGGATTATTTCTTTTGTCTGTGAATTACTGGCCCTGGTGCAGGGACCCTTAGAAGATCTAATTTTAGAGCAGCCCTTGTTCCCGATCATTTAGCAGGAACAGCCAGGCAGGCGTTGCTATAGAGATACGAGTGTCCCCATCCCTTCCCCCTACCCCCGAAAAGGGCTGAGCATACTTACTTTTCTTGGCACTCCCGGTGCCCTCACTCTGACTGCTGGGTATATCGGTCCGTGTTCTGGCGGCGAGGAGAGTTAAGCTGCCATTTCGAGTTGTTCTGAGTCATTGGGCAGGTGGAGAGAGGGGAGGGACAGGCTTTTTCCCCTTTGCCTTGTTTGCTCAGACAGCTCTGGGGAAAATGCCAAATGCTGGTGGTGCTCAGATCGGTTCAGCGCTGCTGCCTTGCTGGTAGTTTCAGAGCACGGATGGGACATTGCGCTGAAGCTGCTAATTCAGACGAGGGTAATGGATACAGTCGAGTAGCCCAGAAAAACTCAGCCTTGCTTGCGTAGTAATGATTTTTGTTCACCGGCAAATGAAACCCAGGCAGGGCCCCTAGAAAGGCGCAGTATTTCTTACCTAAATAGATCTTAAACTACTTGTTCAGTAGAAGGAGAGTTTTTTGGGCAGTACTGTAGACCAGAGCACATGCTAAAAGGATGAGCTTCCCCGGAGGCAGGGGGCAACGAGACAAGACGCGTCCTGCCACTGTGTGCATCCCAAGCTCTGCAAGGGCTTCATCAGAGCTTGGAGTCTTAAGCTGCCTGATTCAGGGACTCCCTGGCTGCCAGCTGTGGAGCACTCGCATGACAACTGCAAGGAAGGGTGAGAGGGAGGGACAGCAACGTCTCTGGGGCAGCTGAACGCCCCCATGGTCCCGCCTGCAAATCCTAATTGCATGGACGTAAATGTGCCTTCCTACCCTTACTTTTCTAGGTAGGGTTATCGCTTCCCCCCCCCCCTTTTTTTATCAAAATGGTGTTT